TGCTTAAATAAATGCTTCAAATAAGTAAGCTTAATATTGGTTATTAAAGTAAGCAATAATTAGTTTGTATTTATTAATATTTATTCTTTATTCTATTTTTTTATTAAACAAGAAATCAATCAATAATAAATAATTGCAATTGATTTAATTATGGTCTGTTATTCCTATTAATTAAATGAAATATTTGAGCCCAAGAGCAATCCAAATTATTCATTTTGTTGAAAGAAAGATACTTGAAAATTATGACATCAGTTAATTAATTGCAAATAATAAATTACTGCTTAAATAAATGCTTCAAATGAGTAAGCTTAATAAATCAAAGAATAAGACATTTAACTAATTGAATTTTATTTATTTCGTTAATTGCTTATCGCACACATAAATTAATGAAATTCGTTCAATTACTTTATTAAATTTATCTGCGATTTTCCATTTCCTTATAATTGCACCGAACGGTCGATTTAATGTGCAACGCAGGCAAAAGCTGTGTAATCGAGAGTATTCACAATTATGTGCATATTAAAATATGCAAATTAAAGTAAGCATTACAATGTAATGAGCATTCCAAAAAAGCTCCAGAGAGTCTTCTTGTGCTGCTGACAGGAAAAGTTTCCTGCATATCTTCGTCCTTTGCGAATCACAGCTAAGCTGCTCAGCTCAGTTCAGCCAACTGGCTACCTAGGGAGGGATTTTTGTAAACTAGTTTCCAAACTTGGCACGCAAATTTGTGCAGCAGCGTGTTGCGGATGCAGGAGTAGGCGAGCGTGTGAACAAGAAAAAATCAGATTGCCAAACAAACTGACTGCGCGCGATAAAAAACGCCTCAAAGCAGTTTGGCGCGTTATAGGCGCCCCCCAATACACAACTTTATGCAAACAACGTGAATCCAAATTGATCAGCAATGTGTGCAAAATGCAATCGCATGTGAAAGGACAGTGAGGCAGTAAAGGGTATCGGCGAACCGAAATCTGGGTGGGGTGGCCAAACTTAGTTATGCGCGCGTTTTTTTGTCGCGCCCAATCCTCTAGAGAGGGGGTATACAAGCTTGGATGAGCCGCTAGTACACAAGCATTAGGCACACCAAACTTAGTGTTCAGTTCAATTCGGTTTGGTCCGAAGTAGTTTTAAAAACCAGCTTTTTGAAAGGAACTACGGAACTAAGTAGGTCTTTGGGCTAAGTTTGTTTTGTTTCCTTAAATAATCGAATTCCTTTAAACAGTTATTTCGCGATTTCGCTAAATATCTTAATGAAGATGGTATTGTATTGGAATTTCTTGTCCCTCTGTTCAAATAGTTTCTGTTTGAAGAACTCTAACTCATAACCATCGATACATCGATTCAGATTCAACGTATTCAATTACTTATCAGTTACAAAACTTAGTTGCTTTAAAGACACATTTTAAAATTTTGCAATTCGTAAAGGATATTTACAACTATCACTACTTTCTGGCTTTTACCTAATACTAGATAAACTATCCTGATACCTGAGTGGCTCAGACAGAGAGAGTGAGAGCTAGAGAGTTCAATGCACTCTCTCCACATATACTCCCATTCTCCTTTCTGAAGTTGTTGTTGTTGTTATTTTGCAAACATTTTATGCTGAACTTTAACGCGATGGCGTCTGGGATGAAAACGCTTTCAATTTCAAGGCTCATTGTGTTTTGTGTGTTTGAGGCAAGCCGCTGTATTTACTCTTATTTTTCATCTTCACTCACTCTTTCACACACACACATTCTTGCTCATCATTAGCGATGCATTAAATTGACTTTAAAACTTTTTACCTGCCAGCTTATATGCCGCAGTTGCCCCACAAACAAATAGCGCCGACTATGTATGACTGTGTGTGTGTCTGTGAGTGTGAGAGTGTGTGTGAGTGGCTGGGGAGAGGGGTTGAGGGGGTGACTGTACAGCGCAAACTAAACTTGATATTAATTAACCGCGACAAGGGCAAAAGCAACGCTGACAGGCAACAAGAGCAGCCGCTCCCAACACAATCTAAACTTTTCTTTCCTTAGCTTTTGCTGTTGCTGCTGTTGTCGCTGTTGTTGTTGCTGTTACCTTGCTTTCTTTCATTTTCTTTTTTATTTGTGGTGTGCAGCGCCATTTGGCACACATAACTAATAAAGCTTCTAATTACACAAACAGCTGACGCGTACAGCAAAGCGAACAGACAGGCCCCAGGACGAAGCGGCTGTTTCAATTATTTTAAAAGCCCCCAAAACTCTAGCGTGTTATTTATTTAATGAAATGACTTTTAATTATGGATTTTGATCGAAATTATCAATGACAATAATTAACCTGAATTAAATTTATTTGCTTTACTAAATTTGACTTAAATTTATTTAAGATGTGAAAATTTGTTTCATAAAATATTTCTACACACTTATTTAAAAATTATTTGAAAAGCCTCCAAAACTTAAGCGAGTTATTTATGTAATGAAATGACTTTTCATTATGGATTTTGATCGAAATTATCAATAACAATAATTAAACTGAATTAAATTTGCTTTACTTTAATAAATTTGAATGAAATTTATTATAGATGTGAAAATGTGTTTCATAAAATATTTCTGCACACTTATTTAAAAATTAGTTGTTTTTAAATAGAATTTGGCAAAAATAATGTTCGCCTGCTTAGCGAAAATATTTCAAATGGGAAGGAAGGAAATAATTACACGCTTTTCAAAATGGTGGGCGCCCATAAGGCTGCTATGCTTTTTCGCACTTCTTGCAAATGGCCGCCGCATGTATTTCAATTACTGCATTTCTCGTGCGGCTGCTAAGAGCCGCAGACTCTCGACAACCGCCCACATTCTCGGCAATTGCCACACCCATAGTCTGCCAGCCTGCCTGCCTGCCTGACGCCGATGCCGTTGCCGATGTTGCCGCCTGTTGTTATTTTTCATGCCTTTTTAATTTGGGCGCTATGTGCTTTTGGTTTTTTTCGTGTTTTTTCTTGTACTTTTTTTTTTCTGTGTGCTCGGCGTTGGCGGTTTTTACGCAAATTCATTGTTTTAATTTACTCAAGTTTGTTGACCGAAAACAAAAACTAATCAATGTGGGTTTGGCCGACAGTAATAACGACAACAGCACCAGCAACAACAACAACAACGATGATGGCAACAAAATATGGCGCTGACGATGACTCGCCCCAAGGTGACAAAGCAGGCTTGGTGGCGGCAACAAAGGCAGCCAAAATGAGGTTAAAGCCCAGCAAATAGGGTTAACAGTTTATTTTTGTATTAAACGTTAAAGTCAACTTAAGTTTTTGTGAGACTGCCTGCCTTTGTGGTTTGCTCGCCACAAATCGACTAGCAACTGTCTTGTGGTTTCTGCTTTGAAACTTCAAAGCAATGTTTTTAAATTTATGAAACCCAAAATAAAGTGAGTTTTGCCAACAATTCGATAAGTATAAAGCAGAGGTGCAAATTCAATTTCTTCTTAGAAATATATTGAAGTATTAAAGCTGGTGGTTTCAGAAATATATTCAATGAGTTCATCCAGAAAAACTCGTATAAATTCTGTTTACTTGTTAGTGGACCGAGCAATTACTTCCAAGAGAGGAAGAAAGGGCCAATTAAGCTGTGGCTTTGAATAAAGCGCCGTAAGCGATCTCTTGATGGGTGTTGAAGCTTATCGCGACAAGCTGTCCTTCTCAGAAATTATTTTATCGCTGAAACTACATAATTAAGCCCTAAAGTTTGTTCAAAAGATAGCTTTGCTTGCAAATAAATGCGTTATTTACACTTTAAGTAAAAAATACAAAGAAAACTATAGATACCAAATGCAAATAAAACTATATTATAAAACCAAACATATAAACAATTTGTGTGTGTAAGCTAATTTATTCAATTTAAAAAACTCTTTTTATGTTTTCAGCTAACAACTCACAACAGTCAACGAAACAACGATATATAACTGAACAACTGCTACCTATGGTTTCTTAAGCTATAACAGAAAGAAGAAGAATTACAGCAGAAGCAACACACAACAACAAGTGCAAATTATGTAAATTATAGCAAAACTAAAACTCTATATACTCGAACACACATAAAATATCAAAGCGAGTAAAGCAAAAGTGCGTGCCAAAAAGCCCAAAAAAAAACAAAAAAGAAGACAAAAACCCTCACGAGATGCGTGCCAAGAAGACCGGAAATTAAATCTGACAACATTTCAGAGCAGCGTGCGTGCTCATAACCTCAAAAAACAAGCAGTGCAAACAAAACCGACCAGCCAAAGCCAGTCAGCAATAAATAGGAGCGCATCCAACCAAGAAAGCCGAGCAACTAAACCAAGCCAGCGACCACCAAAGAAAATAGGAGCAGAAACGAGCATCCGAGCATCTCCACGCGCGTTCCAAATATTTACCCATGAAAAACGCCACAGAGAAGCGCGGGAGCAAAAATTAAGAAATTCACTAAACAAATGTTTATCAAAATTAGAGCGAGAAAGTAGCGAACGCGCCCACGAATACTATTTAGTATATACATAGATATATAAGTATAAAGAGGGAGGCGGCAGAGCGACAAACAAACAGACAGTAAGCTGAAATGGACGCGGAAAATTGCAGTGCGTAAATAATTTTCACATTTTGCAGCATAATTTTGTTTGTCATTTGCCGCAGTGAAAAACGAATCAAAGCCAAAGCAAACAGAGAACGCTAACAAAAGTAAACCGCGCACCCAAAAAACAACAAAAAATCCAACAGAAACCCACAAAACCGAAATCGAAACGAAACTGGCAACAATTTTTAAATAAATAAGCAGTGCTGAGCAGTGCCAAGAGAGAGGTGTGCGGCAGGCCGTGAGTGCGTTCGTTGAGTGTGTTAGAGCGGGCGAACGTTATAGCGAGCGTTGGCCATTATTGTTGTTGTTGACATTTGTGAACTCGCTGTTCTCTGACCCACTCCCCACTCTTCCCCTCTCTCTCACAACTCACTCACTCTCTCTCTCTCTCGCGCTCACCCGTCACGTCACATTGTGTTAATCATACGAACGTGCGCCCAACTACTTAACGGTGCATTGTCTATTTATAAAAAAATAAAAAGAAAAATAAGTGAGAAGGCAACGCGCGACCAGTCGGAGAGGCGACAAGGCGACAGTGTCAGTCAGTTAGCACTTTGTTGCAGCAACAACTATATTCAGCCACTTTCGCTTTCCCCCAACACCAACAACAACAACAACAAGAACAACAACAGTAACAACAACAAAGGCAGTAACAACAGCAACCAACCTATTCAACGTAAAAACAACGCAAACAACAATCCAAGGACATGGACTCGTCGTCGTGGACGCTGTTTGTCGTGTTGATCTTTCTTGTGATAATTAAAGGTGAGTGCGCTGCCATCTTCTTCTTCTTCTCCTTCAACCTTTGCACTTTCCCTTTTAGTGCATAGCTTTATAAACTCTAGCTGTTCATTAAATGGCAAGGCAAGGTAAACGATTAAATAGGCCCATTGCTCTTAAATGTGTCAGTTAAATGGCAACTATAAAACGTTGACGACATTGAGCTCCGTTTTCTATTTTTGTCAACTAGGAATAACAATTATAGTTTGCTTGCGTACTGAGTTTAGTGAGCCAAGTAACCAGAAGGTATTCCTTCTTAGTGTAGAAAAGAAATCCTATTGTTACATTTATTGAAATTTCAAGTTTAAATAGGGAATTTAATTCTGAAGCTTAAAAACTTGTTTCTAAATATCATGCCAATGTTTTAATTTTCCCTTAATAGTTTTTGTTCGAATAAAGGGGGTTATATTTTAGAAAGCATTTCTCTAATTTAAATTAAATTCTAAATTGTTCTGTGGCTTGAAATATAATTTTTGAATTAAAATAATTTTCTAAATACCACAAACATTATTTTCGTTCTAATAATAGGAAACAATAAGAATCCGAATATATTTCGGTTTTGTTTTGTTTTAGAAATAACTCGACAATTTGCCTTTTTAAATTCAATTCTAAATTGTTCAGTGGTTCGCAATATAGTGTGTATAATAATTTTATTTGACTATAATATTTTCCGAAATATCAGAAAAGTTCTAGTCGTTCTAATAATAGGAAACCATATTTATTTATTTTTTATTTATTTCTTAGAATATAATTCTATGTTTTATGTGTGTAAAATATTTAACATATTTGAAATAAATCTTGTAGGAAATAAGAAGAAACATTGATAGTGTTCTGGGAAATGAATGAGTTTTATTAAGAAACATAATCATCATGTTAAACAGGGCACGATCTAAGTCATTAATATAAAAAATTTAAATTCATTCAATGCCAAAAAGATTACCATAAAACATACTAGTAACGTGGCTTTTTAAAGTCGAAACCATTACATGTCATTAGCAACTCCACACGCCTACAAGTATGCTTGACTTTCTTTCTTATCGAAAGATAATAACGCATTGCTTGCATTAAAAGCAAGCTTAAAAGCAAAACATCAAAGCCTAAATACAAATTGCCTGCACATCAAGGCTGTGTCAAACGACTTGTAATGTCAACAGACTATGCTCTTCAAATTGAAAAGGTGCAGACATTACAGGCAGATAAATGTCAGGGCACAGCAAGAAGCAAATGCCTAATGGACTTCAAAAGCAGATAAGAAAAATGCGAAACACGAACAAATTGCAAACGCAATCGATGTGAGAATCGAGTTCTTTGACAAACTAATTAGAATTCTTACGCCATTCAACACTGATGGTCAATTACGAAGTTGAAAGAGCTTTCAAAGATTTCAAAACAAAGAAAGCCAAAAAGCTGATGTGTGTGTTGTTCAATCAATAAACTGAGTAGTTGACAATCAAAATCAATAGTAAACGTACAAAGTTGTTGGTAGTGGTGTTAAAAATCTAAAAAATAAAATAAATGAAATATGTAGATCAAATATTTAGTGAAAAGAAATAAAAATAAATAATCGATGGCAATAGATTTCTACAATGACCATGAATCGTTAAAAAAAGTACGGCAATTTATTTGCATAATAAACAAATTTTTAGATAAATTTAATTTAACTCAGATCGAAAATATGTGCAAATTAAAGATAATAATTTGTTAAAAATATATAACCGACACATTTGAGGGTTGAATTTATCAAAGTTTCTTAGTAACAAAATAAAACATAAGATACACATTTACTTCATTTAAGAGTCGAATTCCCCAAAGCCAGATAGCAGCTAACTCAAGAAAGTTTCTTCGAAGCAGAGATCAAGTTTAGTATCTCTAGACACTTTAGTTTTTGATATAAAGGCGTTCATACAGTCGAACAAACTAAATGGAACTCCAGCTGCTGATCCATATAGCGGTGAACTCCAACAATGATTGAAAGAAAAGTACATCCTTCCTCGTTCAATTTTTTGCAGCAATAAACTCATTGTAAAATATTTTATTAATATTTTTCAGTAGTGAAGCAATATTGCAATAATTGAACTGATAACATTTCTCTGTTCATATCCGACATTTTAGTATGTTGCCAACTATTCAACTCCCTTCATTCTTTTGCATCATTACACCCTTTGTAAAATATTTTATTTATATTTTTTCAATAGTCAAGCAATATTGCAACAATTGAACTGATAACATTTTTCAGTTCATGTCCGACACGTGTTATTCGGCTATTATTCAATATTCTAGTTTGTTGCCAACTATTCAACTGAAATGTGATATTTTCTTCTCTTTTAATAATGTGTCACTATCAATATTTAATAAACGCCTGTTCCGCTCCGTGCATACATACTATTCGCCCACAATTGTGTGCATAAATCTCTGTGACATTTCACGAACTTGCCACATTGCGCATCGCTGCCACATTATTCAGTGCTACTTCCGATTTTTCAATTTCTTTGCCATGTTTTCACGGCACTTTAAGCAGCAGGCCAAAAAGATAGAAATGCGAGAATGCGGAATGCCAGCGGAGCGCATAAAACAAAACGTAAAAAAAAGTAAATGCCATGCATACATAGAGATAGAATTGTAGATATGTATGTTTGTATGTATACCCGTATATATATAAATTATGTGTAGTTACATACATGAATTCCCACGCAATGCGCCATAAATTCACATGGTCGCCATTGTCAGCATTGTCGCCATGGAACTTCATGGAGAAGCCACGTAGGAGCAGCACGCAGCACAGCAGGAACTCGATCTGAAGCTGAAGCTGAAGCTGAAACTGAAGCTAAGGCCGAAACCGAAATCGCCCACAGCTCCATAGCGCTGCTGTTCGTTCGCGTCGGTTCGTTTCACGTGCGGGTTTTGCAATTTTTGCCATATTTTTTTATTTTAGTTTGCTGAACGCCAAAGTAGCGCAGAGAGCCAGAGAATGGCAATGAGACAAATATTTAAAGGAAAAAACAAAAAAAAAAAAAAAAAACAATTGTCATAGCTTTACAAACTTGCTAGCCACCCACCAACCACCAGCAGCACCACCCACCACCACCACCATCCTGTTTCAAGCTGTTCCCAAGCGACTGGCACACGCGCTTTCAACTTTTCAGGCAAATATTTCAAAAAGCATTCAGCTGCGCTTTGAAAAGGGAGCATATTAATATTTCCAATTAACTTGCGACGTTGATTGTACTCTAGAGTCTAGAGTTGTTCAACTATCGATAGTACTTAGCAACATGCGATAACTTGGCACGAAATTATCGATGTACACACCATCGAAGCATTAATGTTTTTCTTTTATTGAAAAATTATGAGGCATCGTTTATCTTTTTGTAAACCCAAGTGCTGTCGTTGCTAATTTGTTCGTTGCAGCTTATTATTTTTTATTTATTATTAAATAATACAACTTAACGTTCTATATTATATTTATCTATATTTATAAGAATCTTTCTTGTCGCACTAGGAACTAATAATAAATAAATAAATATTCTTTTTATCAATTTTGAACATAATACATCTTTGCTAAATTGTTATTCTTTTTATTTATTTATAGTTAATAAAGAACTGCTAACTTTGCAAGAAATATAATAAATAATATAAATATAAAATAATAATGAGAAGACGTAAAGAAAAAAAACTTATAAAAATACAGAAGAATTTAATATATTAAATAGTATAGCTTAAAATAATGCTCTATATTCTCATAAACATTATTTTAGAGTCAATTAAGCTACTTCTACTATTGTTAATAAACACCATCGATATTTAAATAGCAATACATAAAACCACGGATACTACCGATAGTGGTATAGTAACCTTTCTAGTTCAGAGTAATTGTTGGTGATAGACAAACGGTTTTAAGCCAAGTCACTATAATTGAAATATAGCTATATTTTTTAGCTTAAAATTTGGTAATCTTTTGAAGTTAATATGAAAATAAAGCTCCCACTACTACTACCACTTACTACCGATAGTGCAATCGATAGTTTGACAGTTTCACGTGCATTGCAAAACTACAGAACCACTTTAAAAAATTGCGATTGCTTAAAACGATTGATTGTAGGGTATAACGCTTTTTGTTAAGAATTGTTATTGTAAAATTGTAAGAGATAGGCAAAAAAAACAGTTATTTTTCAAGACCAGCACAAATACTACTACATACAAGTATACCTCTCCAGCTCTGTCTCTGCTCTCTAGCAGTCCTTGAAGTGAAAGTACTAATGAGTGCTCAACAATGAATCTATAATTTGCTTTAAATAGGACGCTGCTATCCTTGCTATTAATTATAAGAAAAAATTGTACAAAATGTATTAAAAATAATTACTCAACAGTAATTACATAGCTTTAATTTCCAATTTCAATCAAAACTCGAAACTTGGCACGTTTTTTATTATTTCCATCCATCTATGAAAATAATTTGTTTGTTGATTAAATGTTGGCATTTCTTTCGTTTCATAAACTTAATTTGTCATAAACTATTTATTTACCTAATTTAATTAGCTATCAACTCAGTTATTAACTTAGCTAACTATATATACTAACTAGCTAACTATATATACAAGTACTATAACTGTTTCTCCTGATACCTTATAAATGTTTCTCCAACCCGCTATTTTTCTACTGATGTACCTAATTATTTATATTGTATTATATATATTTATTTGTATTTTATCTTAGACTTTGTAGCTTTCCTTACCACACATTTTTCATAGCTTTTCCTCACAATATAGCCTTACTTTTCTTCGCCCAAGAGTATCAGTTTTAATGCTAACCTGTTTATGGCTCTTGCGATTGACTTTAAGTCTGTTTTTTAGAAAGAATAGCTGGCAGAGTATTGAATGTTCTAGTCAATTATGGCACTTCTTGGCTGTTAGTATTGGCTTGAAGTGTTTTCTTTTTTTTTTTTTTTTTGTAACTGGCTGCCGCTTCGTGTGTTGGAAACATTGGCAAAA